TTAAGAAATGGTAACTGCCCTTTCTTGAGTTGCTCCCTCTACCCACCGTGAACCGTTTCTCCTCTGTGATGCCTGTCTGCCGTGCCACTCCTGCCATGGAGCCTGCCGACTACTAAGAGAGTTTCTCCGTTTTGTTTTCTTTATATTTTTTATTTTCCTGAGGCAGGGGCTCATTATTTATTGCAGGCTGGCCTTGCCTTGCTTATGGAGCCCAGGCTAGTCAGCCAATTGAAACTGCTACAAACTGTGAGCTATAATAAAACTTTTCCCTGAAAGACGGACAGACAGACAGACAGACAGACAGACAGACACGGACAGAAAGACACACACACACACGCACGTGCGCGCACGCACACACACACACACACACACACACACACATAGAGAAACTGTAACTCAGGCACATTAGTATGATGTAAGAAAAATTATGTTACAGCTTTTAAATTAAAAAGAATCACAAAATAGTTCCACTATTGGTAGCATATGTACTGGATTGTTTTCCTAGTATAGTGAAAGAAATGCAGCTATGGTCAATAGGAACAAACCTGTGTCTTTGTCTCATAAAAAGAATTTTCTAGTCATCAGCTTTTTGAAAAAGACAATTGCTTTCCAAAACTTACACATTTGAATCACACTGATCTCCACATTTACCAGCCCTTCGCAGCAAGCTGCAGGGGATTTCATAGGATTATTAACCTTCAAGTTTTCCAACCACCAAGTAAACAGAGTTCCAGGGACATTTAAATAAATGTCATTTCAGCTATGTAAGAAAGTATAATAAAGAACATTCATCCAAATGTGTCATATACCAAATCATAACAAAAGAGAATCAACTAAAACATTACATCAAACAGATTGTAAAATAAGGTTTATTTTGCTAACTGTGCATACAGATCTTAGTGTCTTATAAACATGTCAATGACTAGGTTAATAGCTCTGTGCTATTTTTAAAATTCAGCTCACTCATATAAAATGAACTTAAGTTAGTACCCTATTATAATACTCCTGGGTAATTCCAATTAAAAGTCAGGCAAGGCATAACAAATGCTTTCATCCTTAGACAGCACAGCATGTTGTGCAACCTTTAGTGAATTTTTTTTTTTTTTTTTGCAGAACTGGGGATTGAACTCAGGCCCTTGTGCTTGCCAGGCAAGAGCTTATTCTACTGAGCTATCTCCCCGGCACCCCCCCCCCAAGAATACTTAATAAGATGTTCAAACAGTAGTACAGGATAAGTAGCTTTAGTGCCTACTTTCAGATTAGAATACTTCTTGTCTAACTTAAATTTATAATTTAGGGGCTGGGGAGATAGCTCAATTGAATAAGCGCTTGCCTGGCAAGTGTAAGGACCTGAGTTCAATCACCGGCTCTGCCAAATAAATAAACAAATAAATTTATAATTTAAAAAAACTACAGCAGGCATTTAGCCATCCTTAGTGTTTCAACTTTTTTTTTTTTTTTTTTTTTTTTTTTTTTTTTGGTACCAGGGATCAAAGTCAGGACCTTGTGCTTGCCAGGCAGGCGCTTAAGCTGCTGAGTGATCTCCCGGGCCTTCAACTTTACAACAAATGTATCAATGCACTTTCTTTTCTTTTTTTTTTTTGCAGAACCGGGGATTGAACTCAGGCCCTTGTGCTTGCCAGGCAAGTGCTTATGCTACTGAGCCATCTCCCTGGCCCCATCAATGCACTTTCAATGCAGTGGATCAATGTTCAACTAAGGAAAATCAGGGTTTGCAAAATAAGCTGTTAATGCTACTACTTATAAGAATCAGAGTTTTCTTGATGTTGTGTTAAGCAAATAATGAAACTGGATGCCAGAAGTGATGGTCCATACCCGAAACCCCAGAACTCAGGAAGGTGAAGCAAGAGGATGGCTGCGAGTTTGTGGCCAGCCCGGGTTAGTTACATAGCGAGTTCAAGGCCAGCCTTAGCTACATAGCAACGCTCCAACTGAAACAAAATGATTCATTAAAAACAGCCTCAGGACCAGGAGGTAGATAGGGCTTGCCCAGTATGCAGGAGACCCTGGGTTCAATCCCTAGAATCTGCCCAAAATAGTAACAAAGCATCACAAATTCAGTGATTCAGCAACACCAATTTATATCCCAGTGCTGTGGTGCACATCTGTAATCCCACCTATCCATGAGGCGGAGGCACAAAGACCACAAATTGGAGGTCAGCCTGGACAATTTAGAGAGACTTTGTCTCAAATTAAAAAATAAACTGGGAAGGCTAAGGCAGGAGGATTGCTGCAAGCTTGAGGCCAGCCTGGGCTACATAGTGAGCATGGTGAGTTCAAGGTCAGCTGAACTATAGTGAGCCTATCTCAAAAAAAAAAAGGGGGGGGTTTGGGGGGTAGGGAGGTAGCTCAGTGCAAAAAACCCCAGCTCCAGCCTCAGTAACACACACACAAACACACAAAGTATGTCAATCTTTCAAATATTGAAAGACTTTATAATGAACATGATAAACTTGAATTCATATTATTTATTTATTTATTATTATTATTATTATTTTTTTTTTTTTGGTGGAACCGGGGATTGAACTCAGACCCTTGCACTTGCCAGGGAAGTGCTCATTCCACGGAGCCATCTCCCTGGCCCCAAATTCATATTGTTAAAAGCCATTTTTTGTGGTTTATTTATTGCCAAGTTTCCTTATTTCATTTGATATGATTCAATTTTTTTTTTTTAGTTTGAAAACTACTATATTCATTTGATTTTGCATTCAATGCAGGGTAAAGCCAAACCACATGACTCGTCTTTTTCTTTGGTAGTCTATCGTAGTGTGCTGAAAAATCCTTTAGAATAGGCTTTCTTGATTCTTTCCTTGCCAACCAATCTATTTTCTTGCAAACTCACAGACTCTCCTTACTTCCTACAAACTTAGAATCAAATTTGGATTTTAGTATTAGTGAACAAAGAATAAAATTAAGGACCTCTTTTAGGCTCCCACACCCCATTTTTGAACAAGATTTCCCAGCGGGAACACTTGGCACCTCTGCCTCTGTGCATTCTTTAGAGGCGAATCCTGTCCAGTGTCTCAAATCTTACTGGAGATCCTTGATCTCACCTCCCACATTCTCTACTTTCCTCATCTCAGCACAAGTCACAACGCGGTCATCACAACAGTCTTCACTGCCGGATGAAGCAGATATTCCTTAATCCATCCAAAGCAGATATGAAGCATGCTCACTATTTGTATTTCATAAGAACTGTAAAGCACTTATGCTAAGTTCCCCCCTCATCATTTTGTAAATGAGAAATAACCAACGTACAGAAAGGCAATTTAAATTGCCCAAGCTTCCAAAAATGGTAAAGGACAACGGAAAGTAGCACCTGTAACTTCAGCGTCAGAAACTGTACTATGTATGTCGTCCAGTTTAAATCCCAGGTCCTACTTGACACAACTCAGATTGACTTCCGAGTAAGGAATTTCTGGAAAGACAATTTGACTTGCTGCTTCTTTCAAGAGTATGGAAAGAGAGACAGAAGCAGAGAGGGAGACACAGGAAGGTGGGAGAGGGAGAGAGGGAGGAAGAGAAGGGCAGAGAGAGACAGAGACAGAGACAGAGACAGAGACAGAGACAGAGACAGAGACAGACAGACACAGAGCCAGAGCCAGAGCCAGACTCTCATCCGGGACAGTTTTACAAATCTACTACGGATTAGATGTTTTCCTAGAAAAAACAGGCCCCAGTGCCATATGGGGAAGCTGCCACCTCTTCAAGAAGCTAAACTACGAAAGGCGGAGGCCAGAACGCGGACCCACGCACGTACAGCAGCCCTTTATCACACGTCTCTCGCCAACTTTTGAACCCTCCCCGCTTCCCTGTTCGCTCTCCCAGTGCGCGACCTAGAACGCCTTCCCGCCTCGGACTCGAACCAGTCTTACTGCATGATCTCTTCGCTGACATCCAGGCCGAACGTCATCCGCAGCTGCTGGGTGCACCAGTGCACTAGCGAGTCCCGGGCCGCCACCGCGGCTAGCGCCATCTTGCCTGGCCGGAACCAGCTGGGCGGCGAGGGCCCCAAGTCCTACGCCGAACTAGTTCCCTCCGCAACACCGACCCCACGCTCGTGGTTCCGCCCTCCGCGCGGCCGGCGCGCTCGCGCCGCCTCCCGCGTAGGTCCCGCCCACCCGCGTGGCTTCCCGCCGCTTCCGGCTTCTTGCGGGCGGTGTTTGCGCGGTAGCTCGGTCAAGGTGTCATCATCGCTGGGTCCAAAGTTCGAGGAACCCCATTGATAATATTGCTGAGATGACAAACTCAGATACCTATAAAATGTAGTTTAGAGAAAATAAGGAAAACAAAAATTATAAAGAAAAGGTGTCTCTGCCAGGCAGCCCAGGCTACAAAGAGAGTTCAAGACCAGATTACACTGTAAAGTGAAACCCTGTCTGAAAGACAAAAAGCAAAGAATCACTATCCCCCAAAATGACTATACAACTTAAAATTGGACCTGATTTTTTTTTTTTTTTGATCTGATCTTATGTAAAATTTTAAAGCAAGCTTCTGAGGGTCCTGTTAATTTTTGCTCTGGAGGGGGTTATTGTCGATACCCCATGTAGTTAAACATTATATTCACGTCCCCAAGGCTGGAGATCTAGCCCAGGGCCTGGAGCGTGCTGGGAACCTCGGCCCAGCCCATGTTAAATTTTTTGAGCAAAATTTCTTCCAGGAGGGTCAGCCTCAGCAAACAGGTGTGCATATGATTGGGGATGTGTTAGTAAAATGGGTACTGGGGTTTGGTTCTGAAGACATTCCGTAGTAATTATAAGTCCAAGATGACTAAATTTAAAAAGATTTTGTAATTTCCCCACTCCACCAAGACAGTGGGCTGGGGAATAGGCAGCCAAGTTTTTCTGGAGAGAATGTCTTCTGACTTACGGCTAACATTTAATTACTATTTATCTATTCTTTAAAAAAAATTTGTCTGGAAATTGAACATAGCCTTTGCACTGAGCTACCACCCAAGCCCTTAATTTGATTTTTTATTTTATTTTTTAAAGCCAGGTTCTAGCTAAATTGAATCTGTCATCTTTCTACCTCAGCATGGGATTACAGGAATGCTCTATGACACTTGGCTCCCAATTACAGGTTAAAAGTTCTTTATTCCTATCAGGGTATTTAGACAGTCATTATATTAAATTGGATATTGTTTCATTTTTTATGTTCATCTTACCATTTGCATTAATACTCAAATGTATAAACTGATTTACATTGAGGTTATAGTGTCTGTGATGCCATTAATTTGGAAATTATGTGATTTCCAGTTTCTTTTAAAAGCAAGAGATTGGCTGGGCGTGGTGGTGTAGGCCTGTAATCCTAGCACTTGGGAGGCTGAGACAGGAACATCACCGTAAGCTTGAGCCTAGCCTGGACTACAAAGTGAGTTCAAGGCCGGCCTACACTGTATAGTGAAACCTTATCTCAAATAAGAAAAAAAAAAAGCAGCAAAATATTGTCAAGGGTTTAATTGTACAAGTTTGGTTTCTTCACAAAAATCTAAGATATTAAGTGTAATATATTAATCACCTGATATATTATTTAATAACAATTATATTACTAAATATTGCATACCCAAATTCCAAATCATTTAATATATCCAAATAACTTATCAATGGGAATATTCAATCCCATAACTAAAACATTAGCTTCTAGAAGGCAGACTATTCCCTAAGTTCTTTTGCACAAAAGAACTTAATACATCATACATACTATGATAGAATGACTAGATCCTGAAAAATAATATCAGTGTTATTTTCTTGTAATGCATGTAAATGAGTGTTACTTGTGGTTTGTAATCTGTATCATTTAAGTCACTTACAACCACTTACTAAGCTACATTTCTACCTACACACTCACTTAACATGATTTAAAGGTGAATCCTGTTACAAGTAGGTACAGTGGTTCATGCCTGTAACTCAGCACCAGAAAGCTGAAGGCTTCACTGTGTTCTTTTGCTTTTTCTTTGACACAAAGACTATTTTTCATAAGTGTGGTAGTTCACACCTGTAATCCCAGCACTCAGGAGACTGAGGCAGGAGGATCACTACAAGTCTGAGGACAGCCTGGCCTACAAAGTCAGGTCAAGGCAAGCCTGAACTGCACAATGCAATTCAGCCTCAAAAAGACAAAATCAATATAAATAAGACAGGCAGGGGAGATAGCTCAGTTGAATAAGTGCTTGCCTGGCAAGTGGAAGGGCCTGAGTTCAATCCGTGGTTCTGCAAAAAATATATAAATAAGACATAAAGAGGCCGGTATAATTGTCATGCCTGTAATCCCAGTGCTTGGGAGTCTAAAATGGGAACTTTGCTTAGCACTTGAGGCCAGCCTAGACTACAAGAGACCCTGTCTGAAAAAAACGAACTAACGAACAAATGAACAAACGAAAAAAAGAAAGAAGAGACATATAGGGCTGAGGATGGGGCTCAGTAGCAGAGCAATTGTCTAGCATGTGTGAGGCCTTAGGTTTGATCCTCAGGTGCACACACACACACACGCACGCACGCACGCACGCGCGCACGCGCGGACGCATGCACAGACTATAAAATGTAATATAACCTTAAATGAAAAAGTACAGTATATTCAAAATTCTTTTTAGCCATTTACTTGGCATGTAGAATAGAAGAGAGGACACATACCCCACCCACAGAGTTCCAGTCTCTGCCAGAATCTGGGTTGTGAGTTCTAATAAAACAATTAAGAGCCCTGTAGAAGGGACACTAACTGAAAGGGAAATAGGGGCTTAAGAAGCAGCAGGCCTGGCGGTGGGGTTTAGCAACAACAAAGCAACCCCCTGAGGCTGTTGATTTTTCTAATTTTAGTATCTGCTCCTAAGGAGTTTAGCTCCAGGTAATTACCAATACACTTCCTATTATCATGTTAATTTAACCTGGTATCTAAATCCTTTAATTATGTAGCCCTTGTAGTTGCTTTTGTTAAAGTACTGAGTAACTCTTTTTTTTTTTTTTTTGGCAAAGTTAGCAGAATTCTTCGGAGACCAGCAGTAGTTGTGCAGTTAAGAGTCCTAGGAAGTAGGGCTGCATAGCGAGTTGAGCCGATGTAGTCTCAGTTATGTTCGCCTGGACTAGGGCTGAGTCCTCATCCTTTATGGAAGATTTTTCTAAAATGTTTTGTTATTGTGCGCATATAGATCTGACCCAGTTTTTCTTTACTTTCATGGGACCCTAAGGACGTCAAAGCTTGTAGTTTTCTTTCCCCCACCCCGTAGAATTTTTTTGGAATAAACGATGGATATGGAGAGTTCATGCTAGGAGTATTAAAACTCTCAAATTCTATTTTTTCTGTTTAAGTTCTGATTTTTAGGGGCATCGAAAAGTTCGTTTAATTTTCAGCTCCTTTCCCGGAGCAAATCACCTTGGATTTAACCCCACGGTAACTGTGGGACAGTCGCTGCGATTCTCCGACCCCGGGATTTTACTAGCCGGCTCTGCTCGGGGGTAGAGAATGCTGCGCCCGCCCCGCCCCCTGGCGCGGGAGCCAATCACAGGGCTCTCCGTGTTGATGGACTGGTCAGTCGGGCCCTGAGCCTGGCCGCTGTCACCGCGAGACTCTGTGGTTGGCTCGCGAGGGAAGGCGCCGAACCAATGGGCGTCACGGCTCGCATGAGCGGGCAGCGCGGGAAAGTGCCCCTTATTAACTGTGGCGGGAGAGGCCTCTGGGTTCTTGGCCAGCGAGACACCCTCCCCGGGAGGTCGGTGCGTCTCCCTCATCTCCTTACAGGTCACCATGGTGCGGACTAAAGCAGACAATGTCCCGGGCACTTACCGGAAAGGTGAGGTCCGGCGCTGCGTGGGGTGCGGGGTGCGGAGGGGGTGCCCTGGCTCTAGGGCCTGTGTGCCCAGCTCTGGTGCCCGGGCCCCTAATCTGGGGGCGGAGGCTGTAGAGAAGACCATCGGGCTTTGGGGACCCCGGAGCTGTCCTCTCCGCACCCCCTGGGCTGGGAAGGTGGGGAGAGCATGCTTCCGTGTCCGACCCTCCCTGCCCACTTGGGCAAGCCAAGCCCCCAGCCCCCACTCTGTCTGTCCTTGCAGTGGTGGCTTCTCGAGCCCCCAGGAAGGTGCTGGGTCCCTCCACCTCGGCCATGAATTCTACGTCGCTTTCGTCCTCAAGGAAAGGTAAGAAGCACCCTCCGGAGCTCCTGAGGTAGTGAAATCCTTCCGAAAGGGCCCGGATCCCAGCCTGCCGTAGTGACACATGCCTGTGCCCTGGCACGGTGAGAGGCTGAGGCTGTTGAGGCACAGCCCCGACGAGTGAGAAGGTCCTTGTCTCAAAAAGAAAGAAAATTTGTAGAAGGGCTGGGGATGTAGCTCAGTGCAGAGGCCCTGGGTACAATCCCCAGTGCCACAGACCGCCTGGCGCCACGGTCATGAACAGTAACCTCAACATTCAATGCAATTTATTTTTCTTGAGATCCTCACGCTGAAACTTCTTTGTTGTCCTCTGAAGGGGCTTTTGGCCTTTTGGGCAGCTGGGAGTGGAAATGGAGATGACTTGGAAGAGAATCTTAAGCTATTTTCCAGTCTGTTTTTCATTTTTCGGTTCAGCAATATTTTTTTTTAAATAAGGACAATCATTTCACCTTTTTGTTTTGTTTTTGAGACGGGATCTCACTATGAAGTCGGGGCTGGCCTTGAACTCCTAGGGACCCTCTTGCTTTAGCCTCCCCAGTGCTGGGATTACAGAGGCATGCCAAGATGCTGGCAATCATTTTATCTTGGAGAGGTTACTGAAGTATGTCCTTACTAGACACAAGGTGATGGTTGACAGTACTGACCACATTGTCGTAGTATAGTTTATTTTTTTAAATTTAATTATTTATTTTTGTGTATTTTAGGGAAGGGTCTACAGTGTGTTCAGGGTCCCACTACTAGATCAGACTCCTAGTGATCCGCCTGTTTATAGCCTCCCAAGCACTGGGACTACACGTGTGCACAACAAGCCCAGTCTCTTAAGTTTATTTTTATTTGTGTTTTTTGGATACAGGGTCTTGCTAAGTGAAGATTCATTTTTTTATTTTAATTGTTTTCAGAAAAAGGCCTGTGGAGATTGAACTGCTAGCCTTCCCACAGACCTAATGTCTAGCCTTTTTTTTTTTTTTTTTTTTTTTCTTTTTGGTGTTGGGAATTGAACTCAGGACCCTGCTGTTGCCAGGCAAGGTGTACTCTATCTCTTAACTCTTTTATTTTTACTTATAGTATTTATTTATTTATGGAGCCAGGGATCGAACTCAGGCCCTAGCGCTTGCCAGAGAAGCGCTTATTCCACTGAGCCATCTCCCCAGCCCCCTTATAGTATTTTGAGTCAGGGTCTTGGTAAATTGCTTACCTGGAATTTGAACTTGAGATCCTCCGGCTTCAGCCTCCCAAAGTGATAGGATCATAACATGTGCTATCCTACCAGCTTCTGCTTTTGTTTCTGTATTTCTTTGTTTTCTCCTTCCTTCTCTTTCCCACTTTCAATTCTTTCCTTTCCTTTTCTCCTCTCTTTTTTGAGGATGTCTTTCTTTCTGGTACCAGGAATTGAACTCATGACCTGAAATATCCCAGGCAGGGATTGTGCTGCTTAGCTGTATTCTCCTGCCCTATGTTGTATAACTTTGTGGCTCCTGATACTGCCTTTGGGAGAGTAGGAGGGGAGTCAGACAAGGGAAATGGCTTCACACTGCCCCGCCTGCCTGTGGAAAGGGTGAGAAAATGCCCTGCCACCTCACACTTCACTCCTTTATAGGAAGCCACGGAGGCTGCAAGATGAATTCGATGGGCCAGGGAGATAGCTCAGTAGAATAAGCTCTTGCCTGGCAAGCGCAGGGTCCTGAGTTCAATCCCTGGTACGGGGGGGGGGGGGGGGGAGGTGAGATGAATTCTACAAGGGTTAAAAACCTAAAGAGATATGCTGTTGAGGACTTCATGACTCCAAAATTTCAACTCCAATTTCCCCAGAATCAACATTTTGTTAGATAATAGTTATGGTTTTAGTCTCATCACGTCAGAGGGAATGCAGTAGTAGATTTTTGAAAGTAAAAATGAAGATTTTTGAAGGTAAACTGGGCATGGTGGCACTCAGGAGACTGAGACAGGAGGATCACCACGAGTTTGAAGCCAGGCTGTGCTATATGGTGAGCTGAAGGCCAGCCTGAACTACATAAAAAGACCGTATTTTTATTTTTATTTTATTATTTTGTGGAACCGGGGATTGAACTCAGACCTTTGCGCTTGCCAGGGAAGCGATTATTCTACTGAGCCATCTCCCCGGCCCCCATATCTTTAAAAAGAACGAACAGGGGCCAGGGAGATGGCTCAGTGGAATAAGAGCTCCCCTGGCAAGCACAAGGGCCTGAGTTCAATCCCTGGTTCTGCATAAATAAATAAATAAAATAAAATAAAATAAAAAGAACAAACAGGACCAGGGGTATATAGTGCCTGCATGGCAAGCACAAGGTTGTGAGTTTGATTCCCAGTACAAAAAAAAAAAGGACAAACAACAACAAAAGATTTCTGAAGGTAAATGAATGTACTGAGAATACTACACACATTGTACCACTAGAACAAAATCCATCAGGCTCCGTGCCATGGTCTGGCTTACTGCTCAACCACCAGAGTCAACTGCACAGGCCCTTAATGAGTGTGAATGAATGTGGGACAGATGAACTTGGGGTAACATTTTACAGAGTTCCATTTTTTAATCTCAGTTTTGTATCATTTTGAAGAGAAAATTTGCTCGGTGTGATGGAGTATGCCTATAATCCTAGTATTCTGGAGGCTGAGACAGGCTGTGAATTGAAGGCCAGCCTAACTTATACAGCAAGAATCTATCGCAAATAAATAATTAAATACTGGAAGTTTATTCTTCTTGGTGCCACTTTTTTATTTTTGAGACAGGTCTTGCTAAGTAAGTTAAGTTGGTCCTAAACTCACTGTGTAGCCCAGGCTGGCATTGAACTCGTAGTAATCTCCCTGCCTCAGCCTCCTGAGTCCTGGCATGACAGGTGTGCACCCCCACATCTGGCAGTACTACAAAAAAAAGTGTATTTAAAAAAATGTATTAAAAAAAAGTGTATCAGGGGCTGGTGAAATGGCTCAGTGGTCTAAAGCACCTACTTAGAACAAGCTAAGCAAAGCACAGGGACCGCGGTTCAATCCCCCAGCACCACATGCCAGCCAGCCCCGCCCCCTGGTGGGCTGAGCTGGCCCCCCCCACACACACACATAAATAAAAATTTAAAAAATAAAATAAAATAAAGCGCTATCATCTAAAAAAAAAAGTGTATCAGATTTTAGTATGACAGTACATAATGACAAGTATTTGAATAGCTCTGCTTATGGGTAAAATGCGAAGTTTTCCAGTTGTAAAAATTCTACAAAAGATATTTTCTGGGGTCTGCCCTTAGCTCAGTCATTTAAGTGCCTGCTTATGCAAAGGCAGTCAGGAGCAGGATACTGAGGTTCAATCCCCAGCTAGCCCTGCCCTTCAGGCAGACTGAGACACACACACACACACACACACACACACACACACACACATCCTTTAAAAATATTTTCTAAGATAACTTTAAATTTTATTGACTGAATAAGCTTTTTCTTGGATACATTATCTAATTACTTTAAGATGGATATAATACCACTTAATATATTTGAGCATTTGATGTTGGTTTTACTCCTTAAGGACTGGGGATTGTATTCTATGTTCTTATTTACTTCTTTCCCCCTCCCCCCAGCTGAAAATAAGTATTCAGGAGGGAATCCGGTTTGTGTACGTCCAACTCCCAAGTGGCAAAAAGGAATTGGAGAATTCTTCAGGCTTTCCCCAAAAGATTCTGAAAAAGAGAATCGAATTCCTGAAGAGCCAGGAAGTAGTGGCTTAGGAAAAACAAAGAAAAAGTAAGTTTTTATATCTTCTTGAAAATAAATGACAAATGAGATATTGTATAACATGTTTTAAACATTCTCTTCAGGCCAGTAAGTATATACAAACTAGCTAGGCACCACGGTACAAAGCTGCAGTCCCCGCTGCTGCAGAGGCTGAGCACAAGTTTGAGGCCAGCCTGGGCAACACAGCTCAGCAGTCTCAAGCGCCTGGGTCCAATATGGTTTTTGTTTTTTTGTTTTTTGTTTTTTTTTCGGAACCGGGGATTGAACTTAGATCCTTGCATTTGCCAGTCAAGCGCTTATCCTACTGAGCCATCTCCCTGGACCGGTCCAATATGTTTTAAACTTATTCTTTCTTTTTTTTTTTTTTTTCAAAGTTTTATTGATAAACATATAGCAATGAGACAGTTTCAAATCAAATCGAAAGTACAGTTTCAACAAATAATATACTGCATACATTCTTCCTAGTGGTTAATTGCTGTACAACATGCAGACTTGTGATCCTACTTACAAACACCATTAGAAAAAATCATTCTATTCATTATTCTTTCTTTTTTAAAAAAATTTTTTATTCATTTTTAAAATTTTTTTTTTATTTTTTGGCAGTACCAAGGATCAAATTCAGGACCTTGCGCTTGCCAGGCAGGTGCTTACACAACTGCACTATATCCCCGGTCCCCTCATTTTTAAACTTAGTCTTTCTTATTTTAAGTCACTTCTAAATTTCAGACATAGGAAAAAGTATTATTTTTTCCTATTCCAAAGAGAATTTGGACCCATTAAATAAGGGCTACATCATTAACTATGAACCTACTTTTTAAATTTTTACTTTGTGCTTTCTTTGTTTTTTTTAAAAAATGTATTCACTTTGTGCTTTTGAGACAGGGTCTTTCTCTGTAGTTCAGGCTGGCCATGAACTGGCAGCAATCCTCCTGCCTCAGTCTCTCCAGCACTAGGATTTTGGGTGTGCACCAATATGCACAGAATTTTGTTTTGTTTTGGTTTTCTGTCTGTTTGAGATACGGTCTCACTATGTAGTCCAGGCTGGCCTTGAACTCATTGTGTAGCCAGTATGGCCTCAAACTCAAAGCAGTCCTCCTGCCTCAATCTCAGGTGGCACATACCTGTGATCCCAGCACTACTTCAAAAATTAAAAAAAATAATAAATACATTTTTTTTTGAGACAGGGTAATTTTTCTTTTTTCTTTTTTTGGTAATTTTTCTTTAGTTTTTCCTCAAAAAGCAATTTTTGCATGTTGATTTATTTAGGTTGAATTCCATTAAAGTTCATACATCTCACAAAACTACTATGAGGGTATGCCTCACACAGTGTAAGCCTGTGCTTAGCAGGCATGAGGCTCTGGGTTCAATCTCCAACAGAAAAAACAGAAACAACTACTAGTTTAACTTCCATAACACATATAACCAACGTAGAAAAACTGGGATATACAAAAATGTCAGTCATCTACAGATAACCAAGACTTACTCCATGCTATGTTTTCGTTACAACTTCTCTGTAAGTTCTGAAGAATGCTTAAGCAAAGTAGGGACCCTACCCATGCACAGTGCTCAGCATGCGAATTTTCTAAAAAACTAATTAAATCGTGCTTTACTACTTTCAAGGATAGGAAAGTGCTTGTGATATTTGTTAAGCAAAAATTATACAAAAGTGAGGGCCAGTGAGATACCTTGGCAGTCTAAGTGCCTTCAAAGACCGGGGTTTGATCCGTGGTATTGCACGCCATGCCTGCCCCAAACCCCAGGCGCACTGTGCTGGCTAACAAAACCCAGTGTGGTGGTGCATGCCTGTGATCCCAGCACTAGGGAGGCTGAGGCAGGAGGAGTTTGGGGTCAGCTTAGGCTACACAGTGAGTTCAAGATCACCCTGAACTATATAGTGAGACCCTGTGTTTAAAAAAGAAAGAAAAGAATTCAGAAAAATGACTCTTTTCCAAAAACCTGTAAATAATACGGTGTGGGGACTGTAGCCAAATTGTAAATGTTTTATTTTATTTTTTGTAAGTATTTCCCTCAGAGTGAGAGGACAGGGTGTGGTGTACTGTCACTGGGATGCCTCTTCAGTGAGGCCCCACCTGCTACTTCCATACCAGCCAGATGCCCCGAGATCTTCCAGCCTTCCAGGTAGCGCGTCAGAGAAGAGATGATGGCCCGCTCAGGCACTGCACCTTCCCATGAGGATTTACTCATTTTCTTCCATAACCAGCATGTTGGGTCCTCCCTACAGAAGAGCACCATAAACACGCCGAAGGTTACAGCCTTGTTGGCCTTGCTGCCAGAGACAGAGAGACACAGAGACACAGAGACAGAGACAGAGACAGAGAGAGAGAGAGAGAGAGAGAGAGAGAGAGAGAGAGAGAGAGACAGCCTTTAAAGAGCTTTTCTCATGATCCTGTTCCTTTCAGTTCCCTTTTATTGTCTAGTAACATTCTTTTTATTCTTTCTTATTCTAATATGAATAAATTAATAGGTAAGATTAATTAGAGAACTTTTCCTGGTACATTAAAACAGACGCTGTGAGAATGATATATTCCTTCTGAAATAAAAATTACGTATCCTAACTGAGAAGCATGTATTGTTCAAAGTAACGGGCAAAATACATTGCTTCAAAAAAAAAAATATTGCTTCAAACTTAGTGTTGCACTCACACTTGAAATTCTTGGGCCTGGGAGATGGCTCAGTGGAATAAGCGCTTCCCTGGCAAGTGCAAGGGCCTGAGTTCAATCCCTGGTTCTGCCAAAAAAAAAACAAAAAAAAAAAACAAAAAAAACCAGTTTTGTAAGCCCGTGTTGAGTGACTACTAAAGTTGTCTACTCTTTTTCTCCTACTCTTTCTACAGAGCACGCCCCCTGCAACCTGATCACAGCGATGATGAAAAAGAATAGAACCCTCTTACTCATCTTTAATGTCTCCTGTTTATGTTGGTATTCTAGGATCTAAATTTGTGTAGATGTGTTTGCTCAATTAGCTTTGTTGAATAGGCATTTAATTTAAAACATGAGGTTAAAATTTCGTTATTCAAAAGGAAGCAGTTATGATCGGAGAACTTGTAAAAAGGATGGCTGTTAGCTAAATACTGTATTTAACATAATGCCATGTTTCTTTTACCTGTTACTAAACTTCTTGTTCTTACTAAAACTAAATCATTGCATGATGATTCAATTACTAATATTGTGTATTTAATATTTGCTTTGTACTGATGCCATTTTTATTGGCATTTGATTTGAAATAATGCCATATTTTTATGCCTTCTATTTGCTTTAAAACGTAGGGTTAGACTTTCACAATCTTTTATCAGTGTTCAGGAAGTGGGCAGAGGTCATGTGGACAAAATTTGAAGAGATATCTTCCTTTCAGACAAAGTTAAGAACAACTTGGTCTTGAGGGTTTACACAGTTGTTAATGAAAGGTTTTAAAACAGTCCCTGCAGGGCATGGTGGTGCATGCCTGTAATCCTAGCACTTGGGACGCTGAGACAAGAGGATCACTGTGAGTGTGAGGCTAAGTTCAAGGCCAGCCTGACCTACATAGGGAGACCCTGTCTCAAGATGATGAAGACAAAAACGAACAAACAGAAACAAGCAAAACGCTGGGTATGGTGCAAACACCTGGGTTCTCAGCACTCTGGTGACTGAAGCAGGAAGACCACTGTAAGTCTGAGGCCAGCCTAGGCCGCTTAAAGGAGCTCAACGGCAGCCTGCACTACATAGCAAGACCCTGTCCCAAAAGTATCAAAAATAAATAAATATTAAGAAAGAACAATCACAAAGCTGGGTATGGTAGTACACATCTGTAATCCTAGCTACAGGG